AACCCCATTTTCTTCTTTTTCCTTTTTAACCTTTTTGGGTTTCTCTGTATGTGTTTCTATTTTTCTTCAGCTGTCACTTTTCGCTACAATGTCTAATTCCATCTTCACATGGATATCACCATCGTCCTTGTCATTTATATATGGCAACTATGAAAGCTCTAATAAGGAGTATTATTCTATCCATGGAAGAGAATATCCTCGTAAAATTGTGTTATCTGATGGCCGGTCAACTGAGATCAAGCAGACTCTTGCTCGTTGTCTCGCTCGAGCATTACCGGGATTGGTTGTTGACCTTAGGCTGCCTGTACCAATATCAGTTTTAGAGCAAGGAGTGGTATGTTTACACTTTCTGATAGTAACCTTCCCCTTCCCAAGCCATTTTAGCAGAATTATGGAAGTAATCAATTCAATGACTTCTGCATGCTGTGAGGAGACTTTAAGTGTTTTTTTTTTTTTTGCAGTGCAGTTAGGACCCAATTTAGTTTTTTGATCTGGTTTAGTACTGGGAAGCAATATTAATCTCATTGTTTCGTTGGTTAGGACTTCATTTGTTAGTAGGAGATACTTTGCATATGCATTATGTAGGTTGACTATTGGCAGTGTGCATTGCATGAAGTTGTAGAATGCAGGAAGCTTTTAAAGGATTATCTAGGGTACCTGAAAGTTCAAATATTATGGTTTTCTTTTTCACTCACCCACAGACACATCGACATTCCGTGAAGGGGTTGGAGAGGGAGTCAGTACAAGAATCACCTAGTCATTATGATGGAAAGATTTTCCGGAGCAGTATGTAATTGGCCGGTGATGGTAATGGGACAGAATTTTGTTTCTACAAACAAATTAATGGGAAAAGTTGGCTATGGCTTGCTGAAACTAAGCTGGCGTGATTTAGTATTCTCATTAGAGCCATCATACTTTTAACGAAAAAGGTCCAAATATGCCCTTATACTATACGAAATTGAGCACATTTGCCCTTCGTTAATACTTTAGCTCAATAATGCCCTTACCGTCACATAGTTGGTCTATATATGCCCTTATAGTCACATAGTTGGTCCATATATGCCCTTACAGTCACAATTGGTCCATATATGCCATTTTCGAAACGGAATCCACCCAAACTAATTAGTTATTTCATTAATTAATTGTATTAAAGTGTATCACAAACAATATTTCCTTTTATTAGTACTTTTTTTTCTTTACCTTTTTCTTTTCTTTCTTCTTTTTTTCTTTTCTTCTATGTTTTCCTCTTTTTCTTTCTCCCATATCCGATTTCCTCCATTGCTAATGCCTTTTTCATTTTCCATTTTTGTCACCAATTTCATTTGACAAAATACATGAATTCCTGCCTTCACCCAATAAACACTACCGAAAATGGAAAAAAGGGAAAAAAGAGAAGAAAAGAAAAAAAAAGGTAAAGAAATAAAAAAGTACTAATAAAAAGGAAATAGTATTTGTAATACACTTTAATACAATTAATTAACGAAATAACTAATTAGTTTGGGTGGATTCCGTTTCGAAAAGGGCATATATGGACAAATTGTGACTGTAAGGGCATATATGGACCAACTATATGACAATAAGGGCGTTCTTGAGCTAAAGTATTAACGAAGGGCAAATGTGCTTAATTTCGTATAGTACAAGGGCTTTTAATAATGTTTGGACCTTTTAATAATAGTACAAGGGCATATTTGGATCTTTTCCGTACTTTTAATAATGTTTGATGTTTATTTTCAAAGCTATTGTAGGTTCTTTGATGCGTGTAGAGGGTTAGCTACTCACATTTTCCCATTGGCTGTGATGGCATAGTTGGGTAGATGCTGGGTATTGGTGGCTTAAGAATATCATTGCATGTCACGATTAATGTTGTAATCATCACATGTGAGGATAACTCTTCTTCGTTTGACATGTGCAGGTTCTCTTGATAGATACAATGTCTTTTGTGGATCCACTCCCTGCATTCAGAATGAAGCAGTGGCAACTAATTGTTCTTCTGTTTCTTGATGCTCTTTCCATATGTAGGATACATATACTGACTCCATATATGACCGGGAGAATGACTTTGCTTCCAAAGGTAGAATTCTGGGATTATAACCTTCTATATTCTCATGAACTGTTTCATATGTAGTATATCTGTTTTGATCAATAATGTTAGTTTGGCATCTTCCAAAGCTGTATTCTGGCTTCTCTCACGCGATTTTGTTCTCTTTTTTGCACTCTTAACTTTTCTTCTCTGGTATTCCCCTGCCCCAGGTCTAGTTGTTTCTTCCTAATCTTCACTAGGTTTGCTACCTTCCAGAATGACATAAAAGGACTTAATCTTCACTAGGTTTTCAATCTTTTCAGAGTTTCCGGCATGAGATGTTAGCAAATTCTTGACTTTGTGAGTACGGGTTGGACGAGTTTCTTTTGTTCCCTTTGGCTTAAACAGGTGCTTGTTGGTGCTTAGATAAGCGCAGCGGAATATGAGATCATGAAAGATCTAATCATTCCACTAGGTCGAGTGCCTCAGTTCTCAATGCAAAGTGGAGGCTAATTTGATATAAAACGTCTTTACAGATTCCCTCGTCTAAACTTTCATGAGAGAAAGTAGTTCTGGAAATTGTGCACAAAAGTCATAATTATATTTGGTGGTTGCAACTTTTGTTCATATCTGTTTATGTTTTATAGAGATGCTATGTCGTCAAGACACTGATGTACTTTGATGATTCATTATTGACGAGATTCCCTTTGATATCATTCTTCTGCGGACTAATAACATTTTTGGTTTGAGGTCTAAAGAGGGGTTGAATGAGTGGACTGGAAATACATAGAGAGGTAAGCATCATTTTCCTCATGTGGTAAGAAGTAAAAGAGGACTAAAGTTAAAGAGGCGAAAGTGGCTCAGTTTTACTTCCTTTCTAACAGTATTAAATGATTGGAAGTAAATCTTCTATACTTAGTCTAAGCAAAGTATGTGAATAATTTTCTCCTTACCTTCTCCTTTTCCTTCTCCTTCCTGTAACCAAACACGCTTACTAGCTGTGGTAAATATACATTGGAAGGTGTTTTTTGTTCTGGTTTTGAAGGTGAAATTTAATAGTCAGAGTACTTTCTTTAAATGGATTTAATACTTAACCTTTTGTAGGTTCTCAAGTAAGATTGATACTTGGTCAGAATAAGTAGAAGGGTACAATCCTAGTGCCTTAAAGTTGGAGTTAAGTTGTTTCACTGATGTTTCACTTCTTGAGTGGGAAGGCGAAGGGATAGGTCGAACTTATAGGAGATGTAACCAGAAAATATTGCTTTACTCGATGTTTACTGTCAATTAGACAATTTAACTTTCATAGTTATAAATTAAAGTATGAATACATACCATTTAGTTATGACTAAATGATAAATGTATATTTGAAAGATACATAATTTATTGTTTTTCTTTATGTAACCAACTTTTACCCTTGCACCATTTTATTAGGCTGTGAAGCACTAAGGCTGGCAAGTGGGCCGGTCCAGGCCCGGGACCGGCCCGGTCCCTTAGCGGGCCCAACGGCTATTTTTTTTAAAAAAAAACGTTGGACTGTCAAAAATAGCCGTTGGCTATTTATGAAATAGCCATTTAACCCCTCAATAGTCTAAACTTACAAACGCAATAGCCTCAATTAAAATAAATGTTCAAACTATTTACAATGCTTATCAAGTTGCATTAGATCATGCTAGACCAAAAATGTTCCAACTCCTTCTTCTTCTAGTTCTCAATCATCTAAAAGAACTGCGGGAGTAAGAGCACTTAGTGCTTGGGCAGGGTTCAGGGGTTCTCAAGGTTCTAGTACTAGTGATTTTTCACAACTAAATGAGTTTAAAGTTTATTTGTCATAGGGAATTGAGGAAGTGAATCCCGACGGCTTCTTTAATATTTTGAAATGGTGGAA